TGCCTTAAGGCAAATTGCTGGAACTTCCCGTACCAAAATTTATTATTTCTTTTAAAAACGATTAACATTTTTGAAAAAAATTTACATAGAAAAAATAAGATTTTTGAAAAACTATAAATTGGACAAAAAATAACTTTTTTTTGAAAAAAAAAAATTTTTTTTTTAAATTTTTTTAAAAAAAATTTTTTTTTTTAATTTTTTTTTTTTTAAAAAAATGTTTTCTTTATTTTGACATATTTTGGAAGATCTGAACTTGTTTTTCAAAGCAATCGTACTGCTTTAACTGCATAGAGACAAAATATAAAGCGCGTAAGCGCGGCGTCGCTGTCTAACGGGTAAACATTGATACGGAACCCATAGGAAAATAAACAAAATTTATACTTATTGTTAAAATCTCTATAAAATATCTGAAAATTTGATGTGCATATGTCTAATGATCATTTTTGACCGCCAAATGGCATTTTTTTTTACTTTTTTTGTTAGATATCCGAAACCGCTAGACCTGCCTTTATGAAAATTTGATCAGTTCTTTATCTTGTCAATACAAGTAAAATGTTTTTTGAATTATTAAAATCGGACGCTCCGTTCTCTTAAAAACTGAGTTACCGTTTTCGGCACTTTTTGCCCCGTATCTCCGGAACGGCTAGATCTGCCTTTGCCAAAAACTAATCAGCACGTCTCCTTATCAATACGAATCGAATGTTTTTTGAATTATTCAAATCGGTTGACCCGTGTTCCCGAAATCGTCGACGAAAATTTGTATCCGCACATACATACACACACGCACACATACACACACACACACACACACATACACACACACACATACATCCATTTTTTCTAAGGTATGCCAAAATGTTCAGAAACCTCTGAAACGTAAAGATATATAAAAATTTTCATTTTCGATTTTTTTGCGATTACTATAACTTGCCCTACGGGAAGTTAAAAAACTCGAAATGAAAATATGTTTTGTTCAAAATATGTCTACCCTCTTATGAATTTTTAATTTAAACATTTCCTCAGTATTAATAATAAATACATTTATTACACTGTTTTAATACAAGTACAATAAGTACATTTCAAATTCTATTTCAAAAGTTTTTTTAATTAAAACTGAAACAATGCTATTTACAGTACCTCTGATAAAAAATTTTACTACCAAGACACTTGCAGACGTTTCTGTGGTTTTCTACAATTATAAAGCTCGTATTTAAAAAATTTAATTTAGAACCCTTAGTGTATAAGTGTAGTTCTAATTTAATAATAATTTTATATTAATTTTATAGTTAATTTTTTATTTAAAACAAAAAATTACTGGCGCCTTGAATGATGTTCGTCGCCCTGACCTACTGCACACAGGATTTCATTGTTGTTACATGACATGAAAACAAAAACATGATTATTTAGAATTAAAACATTAAATAAATTATATATAAATATATACATGTATAAATACATATATACATGTATATATTTATATATAAATGTATATATTTATATATAAATGTATATGTATTTATGGCACCTAAAAATGCAATCGCTTTTATGAATTGGACGTGTCAAGTCGTTTAAAAAGCCACATAAAATTTAATAGACAACTAGTCAAAAATTATATTTTTTATTACCTATTATTAATTATGATAATGCAAAAAATTATTTCAATATTTTATACATTATAATTTATTATACTATTATCCATAATATAAGTCAATTTTCAAAAATAAATTTTCTTTGTTAAAATAAATTAAACATTTTTTAAATAAATTTTAATATATGAAACTATAAATAATTTAAAAATTATTTAGTTATTAAAAATCTAATCATTGTATAAAAATTTGGTATTATTACAGTCTTGAAGATACTTTCGTTTTCTATTTTAAATATTTAATAAATTTTATGTTTTTTGTTATATCAATATAATTAACATCAAAATAAATCAAAGTATTATTATACATAACTATATATGTATTTTAATTATTAATAAATTGAATTTTTAGTGATGTTTACAACTTAAAATACGAGTTCTTGATATTTTGTATATTGCTTTATAAATTACAAATAAATATCACTGAAAAATTCATCCCTAATAGTCCCCCAAAAATTTGAAATATTGAAATATCAAAAATTCCAATAAAATATAAGATAAAAGTATGGAAATTGATAAGTACATCTTAACAATTTTTGAAAATTTTATTTCTAAATTAAAAAAAAATAGTTAAGATCTACTTACTGATTTTCATACTTGATATTTTAATATTTCAATATTTTAGAATTATTAGGGCCATTTTTTAGAAATATTTATTTGCAATTGATAAGCCAATCAACAAAACAACATAAATCGTAATAATATACTATATTTATTAATTATTATAAAATTTAAAATTTAGTGATATTTCTAACTACAATTAAAATTTTTGAAATATCTCTTTACCCTTAAAATTTCACCCCATCAGACTCAAATATCTGAAATATTAAAATATCAAAATTCTTATAAAATATAAGAAATAAATATGAAAGTCAATTATAGTAATTTTTTAAAAAAAATGTAACAAAATTCTTCCTCCACCGTTAAAATTATTATCCTTGTAAAATATTTCTATCAATAATTTTAATACAAATTTAATCTATTGATAAACATATTCTTATTATCCTGAATAAAATAATTTTTTTGAAATTTAAAGAAATATGACTTTCATTAAGTAAATAAATGCTTGTAATGATTTCAAATAATTTGTAAATCATAGTTCCTGCAATTTTTATTCAGAAACGTTAAATGTTCTAATTGAATTCTTGTTTCATCATCTTGTACGATGTTTGAATTATAAATGAGAATGATTATTTAACCAATATATCTATATATATATATATATATATATATATATATATATATAAATCTCGTGTCACGATGTTGGTTCGCGATGGACGCCCAAACTACTGGACCGATTTTAAATTTTATTGGCAAAATTAATAAAAGTGCCAAAAATCAAACATTTTATAGATTTGGAATCGGATTTCTCAGAACTTTATCCATGTTAGTTTCAGGGATAGTATGAATATCAATTTGCAGTCGAAAATTTATATGATAAGTGATTAAAACATTAACAACAATAACAAAGCGACATATTGAATTTAACATTAATCATAAACAAAATTCTGACAGTTCAAAAAAATGAATTTTTAACGATTTCGATAAGATACAAATAAATTAATTATTCCAAGTTATGTTATAGGCAATATTGGCAATCAAATTATAGATATAAATTATATCATATTATATTAAATTTCGAACCAAAAAAGGAAATATTTTGGCATTTAAAAATTTAGTGCATATTGGATATATGAAATTGACATTCAATATTTTTAAATTAAATGCAAAAGTAAAAAATCTGATATTTATATAAAAATTATATATTTAGATAATGGTACTGCGATGATTCAGACTAAAATCTAATTTATTCATTGATTAAAAATATTTCACTATTTGACATAAATAAAATTAAAATAAACAAAGCACTATGATGCGTTCGAATTAATTATCAAAATGTAAAGAAATTTGTGTAATAAAAATATAACATTATTTTTAATATATCATTTTAAGAACTTCTGCAATGCGGCAAAATATTTTTGATGGCAAAACAGCGTTTGCCGGGTCAGCTAGTATATATATATATATATATATATATATATATATAATCTTCATACTTTTTTCCGATGTGTAACTCGTCCATAATAGTCGACGTTGTTACATATTAGTTTATTATTTTATTATTACATATAAATGTTAAGTATTTCCTGATTTCGTACAACAAATTCTAATTGTAATTGTTGTTGCAAAGTTTTGTCATCACGGGCGTTCACTTTTTAGTTTTCAAAACCGTAATTGCATTATACAACATTGAAATTACCAATTAGAACAAGAGCTGGGGGGATAAAAGATACACTAGAAAATTAATCATAGTTAAAATTATTATTCCCAATCGTTAGTAGTTTTATTTTAGACTCATTGAGTAAGTTACAGTAAATGACTAGAGATTAATTTTGACGAACTCTACAGGGCGTACCGTTTGTTCTAGAATGTCGTAAGTTTAGCACAAAATACTTCAAAGTATCTACTAAAATACTGTTTACTTAAATTTATATATTTTTTTTCAAAGTTGTTGGATATTAGCATTTTTAAGAGCAAAGTACATATAAATCATACATTACTACCACGAATGACTAAGTTTGATTAAAGAGTCAAGGTCGACGAGCTCTACAGGGTGTACCGTTTGTACAAAAATGTCGTAATTTCAGTAACTTCAAAGTATCTACTAAAATACTTTTTACTTAAATTTATCTATTTTCTTTGAAAGTTTCTGGATATTAGCATTTTTATGAGTAAAATACATATAAATCATACTCTACTACCACTAATGACTAAGTTTGATTAAAGAGTCTAGTTTGACGAGCTCTACAGCGCGAACCGTTTGTACAAAAACGTCGTAATTTCAGTAACTTATACTACAAAGTATCTACTAAAATACTGCATACTTAAATTTATTTACTTTCTTTAAAAAGTTCAAAATATTGGTATTTTTATGAGTAAAGTACACATAAATCATACTTTACTACCACTAATGACTAAGTTTTATTAAAGAGTTTAGTTTGTCGAGCTCTACAGGACGTACCGTTTGAATAAGAATGTTGTAATTTTAGTAAATTTTACTTTAAAGTATCTACTAAAATACTACGTGCTTAAAATAATATATTTTTTCTCAAACTTTTCAAATATTGTCACTTTTAGGTGTTTAGTACATACAAGCACAAATGACTAAGTTTGACTAGAGACTTAAGTTTGACGAGCTCTACAGGTCGTACCGTTTGTACAAAAATATCATAATTTGAATACAAAATACTTCAAAGCTTCTACTATAATACTGCGTACTTGATTTAATCCTTTTTTTCTCAAACTTTTGAAAAATTCACTTCAAAGTGGTCACTTTTAGGTGTTTGGCACATACAGGCATAAATGACTAAGTTTGACTAGAGACTTAGGTTTGACGAGCTCTACAGGAGATACCTTTGGTACAAAAATGTCGTAATTTAAGTACACAATACTTCAAAGTATCTACTAAAATACTGCAAACTTAAATTAATATAATTTCTTTCAAACTTTTTTGATATTGACCTTGATATGAGTAAAGTACATACTAAAAAAATCATACCTCACAAACATAAATAATTAAGCTTAAGTTTGACGAGCTCTACAGGACGTACCTTTGGTATAAGAATGTCGTAATTTGAGTACAAAATACTTCAAAGTATCTACTAGAACACTGCGTATTTAAATTTATCTATTTTCTCTCAAACTTTTCAAATATTGTCACTTTTAGGTGTTTAGTACATACAGGCACAAATGACTAGACTAGAGACTTAAGTTTGACGAGCTCTATAGGACGTACCGTTTGTACAAGAATGGCGTAATTTAAGCACACAATACTTCAAAGTATCTACTAAAAAACTGCGTACTTAGATTAATATATTTTCTTTCAAACTTTCTTAATATTGACATTGATGTGAATAAAGTACATACAAATCATATCCCGCAAGCATAAATCACGAAGCTTGAGACTTAAGTTTGACGAGCTCTACAGGGCGTACCATTTGTACAAAAATGCCGTAATTTAAGTACACAATACTTTAAAGTATTCACTAAAATACTGCGTACTTGTATTTATATAATTTTTTTCAAAAATCCTAAATATTATCATGTAACTAAAATTTCTAAAGTATTTTTCTTTCAGCTCTCTGTCTATTCCCTCAAATCCAATATTTTCCATCCATCCATCATAATTCTTGTAATATTGCGATATTGCAATTATTGTTAAAGTGTCGTCCAACAATAGCCCAGGGGCTATTTTTGAGTAATCATATGTGTAATAACTGACACTTTGGATACGTTTAATTAACTAATACGTTTTAAAACAATCGGTGATTAAATTGCAATTAACTGTAAAAGATATATTGGGTAATGGATATATATATATATAATAAAGTTTTTTAATCACTCATACAATCAATATCTATAAAAATTGAGGTGATTCATAAGTGACTTTGAATTTACCAAAAATAGAACTTTTTTAATTATGAAGACAATATTATTCTTATAAAAAAATTTTGATATAGAAGTTTGAAAAATTTAAATAACGATGATTTTTTTTCTTTAAAAAAGAGACAGTTTACAAATGTATGAATATTTATGATGAAATTTCGCTCTGGGAATTTATTGAATTAATTTAGTTTATGAATAAAAAATTGCATATATCGATCGCCAAATTTGTCAATGCAATTTGGAAAATACCATGAGTTATATATATATATACATATATATTTATATATATACATATATATTTATATATATATATATATATATATATATATATATTATATTTAAGCTGTATTTCGACACTAAATGTGTGTCATCATTAAAGATTTCTGACTACAAAGACCGACAACACATTTCTATTATTTTAAAATTCTGAGTTGAAACATAATCAGATAATATATTTTATAAAACCCAAAAATGTTTAAAACATCATTATAATATAAATATAATTTATAAAAATAAAAAATAATAATAAGTTCGAGCTTAATAAAAAACAAATTGTATAAATTATTTTTAAATAAATTAATATAAATATAATTCCAATAAAACGTGGTAAAGTATCATTTAAAACGTAATGTGAAGTAATTTATTTTTTAATACCTTTGAATATTTAATAAATTAAAAATCATTAAAATATGAATATAATTCAAGAAGAAGTATGTAATTATATAAAAATCATATTGTATAAAATTATATTTGAATTGAAAATAAAATTGCAATAAAAATGATTAACGTATAATGGTATAATTTCGAAATTAATTTTGAATTGTATTAAATTATAAGTTTTGATGAAAATAAAATATAAATTTATTAGCAACGTTGAAACTGCATTATTTTACAAACTACAAATTTACTAAGCACTTTGGAACTAATTTATTTTGAATATAAAACGTTAATAATTTAATAAAAACCACTGGAATAAAATTTAACATTTTAAATTTGTTTTAAATTTATTTATAACTATTTTTGTTATAAAACCGAATAAAAGTCGCCTGGAACCAAGCAACATAAATTTATAGGTGTTGCAAAAATGTTCGTCAGCACACAAACGTATAAACAATTTGTATTAAAAACTTATAAGTAAAATAAAATTATTTATATATTTTTAAATAAATGATTAATTAAATAAAAATACAGCAATAATTCAAAATATTTGTTATTAGCACCTAAACATCTGGACTTAGCTTCCTTTCACTAAAGTAAATTTTTTTTGCACCAAATTTAATTATAAAAATTATTCGCAATATTTTTTTTCGAAAACTTTAATACCATTGCCATAGTCATAGTCTGCTTATTATACCAGAGGACGTCCAGGATTTTTGAAAATAATTGAACTCAATTGTTTCACTAAATCAACAGTCATTTTTTCTTAGTCAATAACACTTCTATTTTCCTTTAAGACACTTTACACTTTACAGGATCATTAGCAATTTTCTTCAGATCAGATTTTTGGATTCTTTATAAAATTGCTACTAAGTTGCCAATGATGACATCCAGTAGGATCAAATTGAACTAAACTTCGTCTACAAAATAATCAATTGCCCTAAAAAATCTTTTATTCTAATCAATAATAATCCTGCACTTGTCCTTCACCAAACATTTTTTTCTGGACATTTCGAAGGACTATTTACAATATTCTTTTTGAAGTCCTTTTCACAATCATCATTGTCCTAAAATCCTCGCTAAAAGTTTCCCAATTGTCAACATGATTTTAGAATCAGTAATCAATTCCTTGATATCCTTAATTGACATATTTGATGTCCTTCAAATTCATCTTATAAAAAAATCTGAAAAAACAGGACATCTTGCAGGGAAGTAGATGGTCAGGTGGAGGACAAAGAAGGTTTTAAACAAAACAGTTTATCACAAGATCAAATTAAATTCATATTTTAATAATTTTTTAATTACGCAGTATTTTAATGATTTAAGTATGCAGTATTTTAGTAGATACTTTGAAGTATTTTGTACTAAACTTACGACATTCTAGAACAAACGGTACGCCCTGTAGAGCTCGTCAAACTTAAGGGGGTATTCTACTGTAGAATTTTGAAAAAATCGAAAAAAATTTTTTTCCATATTTTCAAAGTTTAGTTATTCAGAAATATGACATTAAAAGGATTTTTCAAAATTACTATTATTTCCCGAGTTATAGCCGTTTTAGTGACGTGGTCTCGGTTCGGGTCCGACTTGTCTCAAAACTTTGATTGCGTTTTTCTCGGAACTTCTTTTTTCGAGCTGGCGGTAAGGATATCTCGAGTTCTAATGAACCGATTTACTTCAAATTTGGAGAGGATCTTCTCTATACATCGCTTTATCGTATGGACCTTGCCCAAAACTATAACTTTTCATTTAGTATTTTTAAAAAATACGGAATTGCCAAAAAAACATGAAAAAAAATATTTTTTTTTTCAAACTGCCGCCATTCGAACAAAAACAATTTTTTTAACTTATCCAAGGTTCATACGATAGCGGCATCTATTATAATTAAGAATCCATCTATTTTTTATGTTTCAAATCACCAGGAGGGTTGGAATCATGTACGCCAGGACACCCTCTTTTTTTGGGAACCTCCACTTTGACTGCTCATAACTTTGTGAATTTTAATTTTTTTTTTTTAATAATTTTTTGATGTAATAATAAAATATCAATAAACAAACGATAAAAAAATCGATAGTAAAAATATTATTTGTTTCCTTTATACAGCGCTTCAAAAACCGGGCGAAATTCATGACTCTAAAGTAGAATACCCCCTTAAGTATCGAGCTTAGTCATTTATGCATGTGAGGTTTGATTTGTATGTACTTTGTTCATATTAATGTCAATATTTAAAAAGTTTGAAAGCAAATAAATTAATTTAAGTACGCAGTATTTTAGTAGATACTTTGAAGTATTTTGTACTAAACTTACGACATTCTAGAACAAACGGTACGCCCTGTAGAGCTCGTCAAACTTAAGTCTCAAGCTTAGTCATTTATGCTTGTGAAGTATGATTTGTATGTACTTTATCCATAAAAATGTCAATATCTAGAAAGTTTGGAAGAAAATAAATAAATTTAAGTACGCAGTATTTTAGTAGATACTTTGAAGTATTATTTACTCAAATAACAACTTTCTTGTACACCAGGTACGCCCTGCAGAGCTCGTCAAACTAAAGTCTCAAGCTTAGTCATTTATGCTTGTGAAGTATGATTTATTTGCACTTTACTCAAAAAACGTCAATATCCAAAAAGTTTGAAAGAAAATAGATTAATCTAAGTAAACAGTATTTTAGTAAATACTTTGGAGTATAATTTAAAACACCAACAAATACCTAAAGATACCATTTTCACCAAACTTTTTACCTTTCCGATTGGAAACAGTTTTCAGAGGAATTTATGCAAACTTTCTTATTGCCACTCCAAAAATGCCACTTGTGCCTTATTTTCATATTTTATAACAAAAACACGAGTCTTACTCGCATTACACAATTTTGTTTATGCGTAACGATTTTTAAGACGTGAAAAGGTTAACACAATCTACTAAAAGTCATCTTTGTAACTTTTAGATAGATTTTAGATAATAAACAATTATTGAACAATATATATATATATATATATATATATATATATATATATATATAAGAAATGTCTTTTATAATGTGAGATGTAATTCGCACTTTTGTGCGTTAGAATTAGATAAAACTGTCAATCACATTTTCTTTCAAAATATTTCAAATACAAAAATGAGATAAATTATGCAATTGTGCGTATTATATATTTTTTTCATTTAATTTTAATCTATTAAATTACGATCTTTAGAGATAAATTAGTCTATTGATCACTCATTGATTGATCATTTAGCAGCTCAGAAATAATTACTAAAAAAAAATCTCAGATTTCTGTTATTGTGACACATTTTTCTCTAAACAAATTTAC